AACTGAGGCACAACAATATTATGGGATTTGTTGACAACTTATACTTTATTTCTGTATTATTGAGCAAATAACTTTTGAACACTTACCATGTGCATGTATTGTTTATGTTATGAACATCAAAATATGCACAGGAATGTTCTAAACCTGGAGGATAAAAATGGTGGCATGAGTGATACATCCAAGTAAGCAGCTACTGGATTCTTGTGGTTGAGATGAGCATCCTTGTGCTGACCAGGTTCTCTTATTTAAATGAGCATTTCAGTTCTTAGCCCCATCATCTAGCTACCCATTACTAGATAGCAGCATGGATTGCTGTCTTCCTTTCACCTGCCAGCATTTGCCAGTCCTTATCCCAACTCACTTACTCAAACAGAGCCCTGAGATCATCACTTTCCTTTATCCTGACCATCACTGGATTCATTTCAACACATCTCATCCCTCATAGAGCCTTTGGCCCTGACCATCTAATTCTAATTCTGCCTGTGTTCTGATGTCCTCAAATCCACTGTGCAGACTCCAACCCCTTTGATATAATGGCCTGATCGTTTCACTCACTTGATTAAATTGTATGACTCTCAGTTGTCTGTAGGATCAATTTCATTTTTTAGTGTTGCAAAGGCCAACAGGTCAAGCTTCACACTTTTTATGCTAGTTGTCAAATATTCCTTAAGATCCTGGCCTTTGCTCAAGCTGCTCTTCCCCTCCCATATCCTTTGCTCTTATCTTTACTTGACTGACTCCCACTCATTCTTCAATACTCCTTTATCACTTCCTGGGGAATCCTTCCTTCCCCTCAGCTTAATGAGAGTGCTATCTAATCAATCTCTAAGTTGTCTTAGTTTTTTTTTTAATCAAATGCTGTGTCTGTCTTTATGTCTTCTGCTGAGATATGCTGCTGAAGGTGTTGCTGTTCCCTATGAAGTGCCTGTCACAGAGTAGATTATAAGGATTTATTAATTATGTTAGTCTGTTTATTAAACCAAATGCCATTTTAAAAGCCCAAAAAGTGTACATAAGGATGATGGAAGACAAATGCTAGCTGAGATCCCCAAATATTCTCATTAAAATGTAGCAATTGAGATATAACTTGAAAGTTGTCCACACTGAGAAGATAGGAGCTAAGAAGCTTGGTTTCTTATAAGCAGAGCTCCAGAGTTGTGACTACACTGCCTAGCACAAAGGACTCATCAAGAAGTCTCATCAGTTGTTATGAGTAAATCTGACATTACATCCTTGTAAGGCTTTAGACACCAACATCATTGATTTGTTCTGAATTTCATCAGCAATGAGGACAGAGGGAAGAGTTTTAAAGCAAAGAGCAGATGTAATTAATTCCCAGCTTTCTCTACTCAAGCTAAGTTGCTTGAGGATTGACAGTTTGGTTTGCTGCCTGGTTGCTCTCTAGTATATTGGATTAGCATTTAAAAATTGCCTGCATGCAACCAAGAAGTATTTAACACAGTACTATTCTAGAAATCCTTCTGTGCAAAGGAACATGTTCCATATCCATGACGTTCAGTATAGCAGCCACCAAACACATAAAAATTCTAGCACTTGAAACAGAGATACACTGAAGGAATAAAGTTTAACTTATGTAAATTAAGTATATATTTAAATTAAAATGGCCATGTATGATAAATGGCTACTCCTCATTGAATAATGTAGTGTTGGGTATTTCTCCCAGGCCAAGTCCCTTTAGGAAACAGGTATACTTAGGTTAGGGCAAATCAAAGAGAGTTCATTCATATGGTTGTTTCCAAAGATGCAGACAACTCTACAGGAATAATGAGATAGTTAGCTATGGTTAGTGACATAGAGAGTTGATGGAAAGCTTCATGGTTAATACTATATACAGGAAAAAAAGATTATTATACAGGTATACAGGTACAAGCTAAGAGGACACAGACTATATAAGGTACAAAGTATTTCTAATAATGTTTTATGGAATAAAATCATGCTCAGGATTATTTTCTTCAAGAGAGTCTTTCCTTATGGGAGGTCCATTTCCTGATAAGAGAGTGTGTGGTTTTTCTCTATGCAGTGCTGATTCTTGCTGCCTCCTTACAGTGTCTCTTCCCAATGACTCTGAAAGTCACCCCTTTTCCATCAGCAGGGCTGTGCTGACTTAATGATGGATCCTGTCAAGGGTTCTTTAAAGGGGCATCTTCTTTACTAAGCACTTCGTGATAGGCAAGTCCTGACTGTAATCTATGGTTGGGTTTTAATATCCTGCCGTATCCATCCCTCATCTCAGAATATAGGACTTACCTTTAGCCCTAGCTCATTGCTTGATGATTTGTTAAGGCTTTGAAAACAGAAGGAATGAGGTGCTTTTAAATAGGACAGGGCTATTTCTCCTTGCTTTATTTATTTTTATGCCATGCAAAAGGAATAAAGAGGTATAAAATGGCTCAACTGAAGCCAAATAAATCTGGATAAATAGAGCAAGAACCCAATAAAAACCTGGGGATGAGAAAGAAGAAAGGTATTGAGGATGGGAGATAAAAGGGAGGAATAAAAAAAAAGAAAATTTAATAATTCTGGTGGCATTAGGGTCTATTTATTCTTACCCAGGGAACAAAGTATCTCTGACCCAATGCAGTATTTTAAACTAGGGTTAAGTTCTGGGTGGAAATTAGGAAATTATCTTTAAAGTCCTTATTGAATCTTCTCATGCAGTCACCTCCCTTCATCCTTTATTAAAGCTTTTGTGTGTGTCTGATGTTAGGTCTAGGAAGGCTGACATCTTTTACTTGTTCCGATGAATCACAGCATAGAAGCGTATGCATTTTTATAGCCAACACAACAGGAATCTCTCATACCATTCCTTATGCCAGGGCAGGTGGTGAGAGGGCATGGGGATCTCTTTGTCCTAACCCCTGCCCATTTGGGATGATCACTGCCTTCATGAAATGGACAAAAGATGTAGCCAAGAGCTAATAACACAGAAACCTAGAGAATAAAGGCTAAGCCCTCTAGGTAAAATTAGAAACTTCATTTAGTCCCGTTGTAGATTGGTTTATGTCATTGCTTTATGTAGCCCTGAATTAATGCTTCATAATTTCCTATTGCTAATATAAATACTGCTTAACGAGAGCTGTTAAAGTAATCACAAGTTTCATTTAAATACATTTTCAATCATCACTTTGGTATCAAGAACTTTTTTGTTCTCTCTCAGTTAAATGACCCAATACCTATTATGATTTTCTTCATTCCCCTCTTCTTTTACTATGGACAGTTTCTATCAAATGTACACTTTATATTCTTTTAAAATTAAAATTTCATTTTTATGTGAGTGCACATATGTGTTTGTCAGGGTGTATATGTGTGTACCTGCAGAGACAAGCAGACAATTTCTTCTCTTGTACCTTAAGCACTATCCATGTCTATTAGTAGAACCTAGTAGATATATGCCCATGGTTACCAAGCATCTTGCAGAGTATTGCATGCTTTCCAGTGATGTCCATTTTTTCACTTCTGATGCTGAGAAAATTTTCCGTGTAACTGTAGTTTAGTGGGTACCAGACATCACCAAAGAGTTATTTAATTGTGTCTTCGAGCTGATTGGTAAACTTTAAAGTTCATCATTAACTTTCTGGCTTGTTATAGAGCCATAATTAAACCATGTTACACTTTGAATGAAGTTGTTAATTTATGTACTCATCAAACCCGTTCAATAACTCCCTTGCAGGTAATTATTGTAAGGGTGCTGTAAAGGCACAGAGATGAAGTGAGCCTGTTGGAAAATGCCAGTGAAGCAAGGAGAGGCAAGAGTTCACTTGTGATCATGAGAGAATTGTTTCAAGGGGCATCATGAATTGAGGAAATTATTTGTGAAACCATTGAGGAACAGCAAGGATTTTAACAGGTGCCTATGTGTAAGAAATGGGGAAAGAGACAGAAAGCCTTGAGAATGTGGTACTTTAGAGACTAGTGTTTGAGAAGATTGCAGGAGACCAGGAGAATGGGGTACATCTCTTGTGTACAACTGATGATCTTGATTTTGTTGTTGTTAAGACATTATTCTCTGTGAAGGTATAGATTTTTCTTTGAAATTCATCTTGGGAGAGAGATTTGCTGCTTGTCTGTGCTGCACTACAGTGTCTCTCTTCATGGAGTCCATTCTATCAGCTCTGTGACCAGCTGCTGATTTTCAAGGTCTTCTACCAGAGACCTTTGCAGTTTATTAATTTAAAAGTAACAGCAATTTTTCCTAGAGGTGAAACACATAATGATTTTTCCAATCTCTTTTGTAGGAGGTATCACTGAGAAAGTATGATTAGATTCATCCCAGTTGTCTCCCACAACAATAATATGTAGAAAATGTCAACCAAGGTGACTCTTCATGTGTTAAGAAGTGCAAGCCTTAGGTTAAAGGATGTAACAGAGAGAACTGTTCTGCTTACAGGATGAAAGCGTGTTGCACAAATTATCTTAAGGAGCCAAAAGCAGCATCCAGTTATCACTTAAAACAATTTGTTCTTGGAATATTGTCAGCTAAAATTGTGGTCAACTTTTGCAAATTGTATGAATTTGCACTGCATATTTTATTTAGTGTTTAGCAAAACTCCAATATGGTTCTGCATAACTTACACAATGCACCAAGAAAATGACTTCAGAAACTCCCACGGAAGTTGACAAATTGGGCATCTAATGCTTTTAAGCTAATTGCATGCTTAGCAGTTAAGGAGTTGACTTGTTAAGAATGAAGATCAGAATTTTGTGGAGACAATGCTGTGCCTGCTGCCACACTGAATCTGATCAAACCTTGTATCAGAAATATTACAGACTCTTAAAGAAGAAAATAATGTGCACTTTAATCGCTGTGCTACTTAGTGTTTCAGCAAAGTGCTCATGAATCATATGCACTGTCATAGCAGTTTTGAAAACTATTCCTGAATTTTCAAGCTGTTATTTTCAGGAAATTTTGAAAGCAAATTGCTAAGTGATAAAGAGTAATTTGGTAGCATTGCTTATGTCAGTGTTTTGCTTTCTTGCAGACTGGAAAAACAGAAAAGAGTAGTACCCTGAATGCCGCCATAGACAACATGAGCAAGAAAACAAGAGATCTCCGCAGACAGGTGAGAGCAAAGATAGGTACTAGGCAGGAATAAGGGGCAAAGGAAGCTCTCATTCATTGCTCTACTGTTTAATGTTTTTGGTCTTTTAAAATTATGGGCTAGGAAACCAAGAAGCAAGCATATATTTTCCGCATTTATGTGCCTTGAATGTTTTTGTGATAAACAGAAGATAGAAATAGGAGTTATGTGCCTTAATACCATGCAGAATAGCAATTGAATCTTGGCTCTGCCCTCATCAGAAGTAAGTTCTGAGGCATAGATTTCATCTATCAGAGCTTCTCTGAGTCTATGAAATGTAATTAACAATGTGAAATGGCTTTGTATATTAAGCAAATGCATATTCCTGCACTGGAGAAATAGCTTGTTTGGTGAAGTGCTTTCCTTGCAATCAGGAGAACCTGATTTCAATTCTCACAGCCCTTTTTGGAAAAGGTCAGGTATGGTATGGCAGGTTTGTAATCTAAGAGTTGGGAGGTGGAGACAAATCTATTCCTGGGCCTCTCTGCCTAGTCAGCCTAGACTGCTGGGTGGACTCCTCATAGAGGAAGGTCCTGTCCCAAGGGAAAGGTTTATGGATCCCCATGAATGAATCTGACATTATGTTCTGACATCACATACATGTCCAGCACATGGGCTCATGCCTGTGCACAAATGAACATGGACACATATACACAATTCACTTCCACATAACAGAAAATCAGTACATATGATTGGCATATTAATGTTTAGTGATGTTGTTAAACTGACTTTATGCCAGTACTGTGCTGGCCGATTTTAACATCAGATTGACAATAGTAGGAGGCATCTGAGTGGAAGAAACATCAATTAAGAAAATGACGCCTGTATGCTTTCTGCAAACTAGTAGGGCCTTCTTTTAATTAATGACCAGTGAGGGAGGGCCCACTCAATTGTGGATGGTACCACCTCTGGGCTAGTAGTCCTTTGTTCAATAAGAAAGCAGGCTAAGAAAGCAAGTAGACAGCTTCCCGCCATAGCCTCTGTATCAGTTCCTGCCTCCAGGCTCTTGCCCTATCCTGACTTCCTTTAGTGATGGACCCTGATGAAGAAATATAAGCCTGATAAACCCTGTCCTCCTCAAGTTGCTTTGGTGACTTTCTGTAACAACAATAGTTACCTGAGACAAGTATACACTGAATTACTCTTCTTTATGCAGAGAGCATCTAGCAGCTCAACCTTGTCAAATTTTCCTCTTCATGGTTTGTGGGAGCTTCAGAAACCAGTTTTCATTGAGATACTCTTTTCGTCATTAGTCACCAGGATCAGAAGGTCAGAAAGGATTTTACTAAGCAATTGAGAAGCTCAGTGTTAGGACACAACTTAATCCCCCCCCCAAACTTAGCTGATTTCCAAGGCCTCTGCTTCCCAATCCTTTCTCTATTAATTAACACACACACACACACACACACACACACACACACACACACACACACACACACTCCCCTCTGTCTCTGTCTCTCTGTCTCTCTCCCTCTCTCTCTCCCTCTCCCTCTGACAGCTATAAAATAGTCACCATTAACTCATAAAAGCATGGAAAAAGGCTTTTAACCAGAAGCTCTTAATGCTAAATGTTATCTTAATTAAATGGGAAGAATTAGAGAAATGGCTGGGCTGTATGTTAATTCAGAAGTAGATCCATATACAGAATAATAAGGATTTCCAGATAGTGAGGTTGTATTTAGGCAGAATTTTAAATTCTGTGAAAATCATGCTTTCTCAGCATTAGGTACTTGATGGGAATTATCTTTATGCTATCAGCAGTTAGGATTATGGGATGTAAGAGTGAAACTAGCAGCTCATTTGAACACTTAGAGTTGGCCTTCCTCGTTCTTGTAAGAGTTTTATTTTGTGTCTTCTCTAAGATTTCTTTCCACTCCTGTCTTGATACAGAGTCTCCCGTATCCCAAGATGCCCTCAAACTTCTGACATCCTGGGTGGTGAGGCTTGGGGTTATAGGTATACACCACCATGCCAGCCCCTCCCCCCAAGAAGTATTAGGTATGAAGCCAGATCTTTATGTATGCTTAGCAAACACTTTACCAGCTCAGCTACACAACCCACCCCCAAGGATTCCCACCACTTCTGCTCTTCTTGGAATTTGGAAGAACTATTCTACGACTACCAACTACAGTATTTCTTGTCTCTGTCTCTTCTATCTAGTTTGCCTCCCGCAAAGCTATGCATAAAATGCTAATCTACACACATTCCTCCTCAGCCTTGACAGTTATTATTTTTCTCCAAGACTTCAGAAAAAGCAATTTCTTATATATTGAATTAGAAGATTTAGCAAATCAAACTTAACATGCCCAGTTAAGTTTGAATTTTAGGTTAGCAACAAATATGTCTTAACATAATTATGTTCCCAATGTGGCATGGTACATACTTTCAGTTTGTAAAAAGTGTGTTTACTTCAAATTTAAACATTCCCAGGTGTCCTGTACTTTATTTTGCAATCATGCATGGTTTGTCTCCTCACCATCATTGGTGAGATCGAGTGTCACAGCAGGGTAGCTAATTCTTTCTCATATTTCTTTCAGTTTATAGAGAACAGCTGTACTATGGGGATATTATGGAGAAACATCACTTTAGTTTCAGTTTCTTCTTTCATAAACCACCATCAGTAAGACCCACTGTGATCTCCAGGGGCCACTGGTGGTCATCAGCAGGGCTCTCTCTATTTAGTCTTGACTTGTGATGATGTCAGAAACCAACACCCATGCTGTGCCTCAGGTTGGGAGTTGAGATCAAAAGTTGAAGAGTATGGTTATACAAGTTAAACACATCTATAAAATTCACTCCAAATGAAGGACCAAGCAGGAGCTCTTTTTCATTTGGAGAAACAGTACATGTGTATGTGAAGACATGGAATGAACTGTATTCTGTCTTCAAGGTTACTGTCAGTTGCCATGATTCTCCCTCTCCAGCTACTTTTTCCCTGCTCCCAAAATGACTTCATTTCCCATTGTGAAGTCTGTACTTTGGGTATAGAGTTTGAGAATATAGTATAGGTTCAGAGGTTTGGGAATATAATTTTGTTCATTGAATGCTTTCTTGGCATGCTTGTAGCTCTGATATAGATTTCTAACACTTCATAAATTGGGCACGGTGGTACTTATCTTTCAAATCAGCACTCAGGATAAAGAGGCAGGAAGATCCTAAGTACCACGTTATGCTCTGCTACAAATGAGTTTAAAGCCAGCCTGGGATACACGACACCATGTCTTGAAAAAAATTAGTTGAAACAGCAAAATGAATAATCTCTACATCTTTTTATACTTTCAACATTGAAGAGTTTATTCTAAGCACTTTACATATGCTCTTTTCTCACAAAAACAAAGTCCTGCTCTTAAACTGTCTTTGAAATATTTAGTGATCATCTCTTTGTTCTAAAACTGTCTTATTTTTAGAAGAAACATCCCAAGAACCTCTCTTTTTGCTCATTCATCCTTATTCGTTTCATCAGTAACAAATGCCTTAGCTTTAGATTAGAGAATGGTGCTTCTGTAAGAAGAACCATACATTTGTTAGAAATGTCTAAAGAGTAGCCATCATTCATTGTGGAACATGAAGATGGAATGTTCTCAATTTTTTTGTTTCACCTTTCTTGTTATATGGCTTTCTTATGCATTTTATTAGGGACAAAGTTAAAGATGTTGGCATGGTGTTCTCAGTTCTCTGTGACTTGACCACAACATTTTTATTTTTTAGTTGTTTTTTTTTTTTTTTTAATCTCCTTAGTTCCTGCTCACCAGAGCTGTGTACTCACCCACCTCTGATAAAAGGATCTACTAACTTCTCAGCAAGAGGTCCTCTCCTCCTTCATCACACATTTGCAAGCTCATCATGTTCAGTATACTAACAGACCTATCATGGCATCCTGTGCTTTCTTTACCCCTTTCTGTTTCCTGTCCTTTTCCTTCTAATCTTAAGTCACCTGAGTTTCAAAATAGTATGTATGCTACTCCTTCCAGCCAAACTTAGCTGCTATATATTAATAATTATATATTAATAATAGTAATAGGAATTACTATTATTTTCTAAGAGCTATTAAAAACTAGTGAACCTCTTTCACAATAGTAATCCCTCCTCTGCCTGTATTTTCTTTTTTCTCTTGAGGAGAATTTTCTTCCCAATGGATTGTAAACATTTAGAATGAAAATTGTGATAAAATCTCTCATTTGCTGAGTATTTCCAAAACTCTCTAATAAGTATATTCTTTGAGTTTCTGATTTCATTCTTGAAATAAGAAATGATGCGATGATATTACATCCATTCTCAAGTGTAATAATTTGCTAAACCTACTTGGTAGAGCCATGTCAGAGAGGTTAAAGTAATGGTGCACTGTATCAATTAATACAGAATTCTGACCACAGACCACAGCAAACAAAAGAAGCACATGCCCATGACTGATTATTTCATTGTTTGATTGCTTGGCTCCTGGAGTCTTTGCTTCCCACATAGGCACCCCGAGCATGAGCACAACACTTGGAAAGCCATTATCAGTTCTCGTGTCTCTCACCATTAGCATATTAAGTTCCCATGGGACTGCATCCCATAGTCTTGGCACAGTGACCAGACACTGAACTGTTACTCAATTTAGTTCTTATCGATCAGAAAAGTTTTACAAAACATGTTTTGCTCACTTACTTAAAATTAAAATGGCATCTATATACACAAATAGGGTTTTTCTGATTTTTGAAAGGAAGAACAATTTCTTTTTTTATATATATTTATTTTTTATTTTATTTAATTTTATATAACAAAGTCCAATTAAATGAAAACAAACATTTATACACAATATTTGGGAATTTGGGCGTCGTTCATTCCAAGCTACTTCCTGCTGGTAAGGGGTGCTGTCTTGGGGGGATTCGAAGAAGATTCAGATATCCTGGCTGTAGTCTGTATGGCTGTTTTGTCCAGCTGTTTTGAATGTAGGATTAGCTTGTACTTTTTTTCAGGCGGTCTGGCGTGATCAAACCTCATTAGTCTGGAAGGAATCCACATCTTTTCATTTTCTGTGGAAATAAAAATAGAATTCCTTTTCCCCAGTAACTTGTCCTTCAACTTAAATTTTGGAGTCAAAGCATTTTTTTTATTTAATTTATTGTTTTACATGTCTATCCCAGTTCCCTCTCCCTCCCACCCTCCCTCCCTCCCCTCCAACCCTGCCTCCCTCCTTCCTTCCCTTTTACCCTCTCTGCCCTCTCACATGCACTCTAAACACCCTCCCCTCCCATCTCCCCACCCCAATTCCATGTGTGGGGGAATGCCATCCAGTTGGGGTCATGTAGATCTGACAAGTCCTGTGAAGTAGGGACTAGGGCTTCTCTCCTGTCTCTAGATTAAGGCAGTTATCCCTCCATGGGGGATATGTTCGCAAAGTTCTTTTGTGCACCAGGGATACATCCTAGCTCCACTGTCTGAGGTCCCTTAGACTGCTCAGTCCTTCTGGCTGAGACCCATATTCAGGGGGGCCTGAGTCAGTCCCATGCTGGCTTCCCAGCTATCAGTCTGGGGGCCCCGTTAGTTCCTCCTTGTTCAGGTAAGCTGTCTCTATGTGCTTCTGCCGCGTGGTCTTGTCCTCTCCATCTGCTTCTGGGTTCTAGTTCGACTCAGTGTTTATGTATGGGTGTTTGCTCCTATTTTCAACAGGCATTAGTTGAGGGCTCCATTGAGAAGTTAGTTGTTGATCTCACTCTCCGGGAAGGGCATTTATGATAGCCTTTCCACGGAAGCTGAGATTGTTAGTTGGGAGCAGTCTTGTAGTTCTCTCGACCTTTCTTTGTGTTCAATTTTATCTTCAAACCAATATTGGCTCCCTCTTTTATGTTCCCTCTCTCTGTCTCTGTCTCTCTCTCTCTCTTTCCTATCTTCTATTCCTAACCAGGCTCAATCTTCCTGGTCCTCCCCCTCATTTTCTCCTACTTCTCTCTCCATTCGCTGTCTTCCCCCACTTCACCTGAAATACTTTCTTTGCTATCCATGCATCTTCCCCTCACAAATTATTCTTTGCTCTTATTTGATAACTCTGGTAGTCTTCCTTATAGTTTCCACATGGAGCTTTCAGTTTTGTGTTTTAATTGTAGAGAAATATATTATTTTATTTGAGATATTAAACCACTTACATCAGCGGGAAAAAATAATGGTGCTCCAAAGTATTTTATTAAGTTACTGTGGAAAAAGATAGAAAGTCCCTCTGTTTTGTTTTGCTCTGACATCATTTGTGCTTGACCATGAACAAATATTTATTGAAAATTCATACCTCACAACTCCTTTTGGCTTCCTGCTAACTTCCAATTTTAGCACCATTACTTCATGTGTTGGAGTATTTTTCAGAATATTTTTTATGTCATCCAAATGAAAGAAATATAGTAATCTCCTGGACAGGAAGACAGTATGGAAATCAATAAGCCACAGGCTATGTAATTAATACATACATAGACAAGGTGTAAAGAGAATGTCTCCTAGGACTATGTCTAGATAAATGGGGGAGATTGCCTAACAGAAGGACCTAGTATCCAGGCCCACTGTAAGAGGTGCAATTGCAGACCGATCTGGAGAATGTGCAGTCCTGAGCATCAGGATAAAGGGTTTGCATTCAACAAGTCAGGCAGAAAATTCTGAGAGAACTCTGGGATGCTTAGTTAGGCAGTTTGTTATGTGCCTGGGTTGAAATACTTTATGGAGGAAAATAAAGCCAGCTCTTAAAGGTTTCTTTCCATAAGTCACGAACTTCTGACAAATTCCTTCTGTCAGGGGATCAGAAAGAACATGTCTTACAGTGTGAGACAGCAGTCTCTGTCTCTTGATTTACAAAAGTAAAAAAAAGAAAAAAAAACTATAATTAAAAAAAATTCATAGGTAATGTGACATTTCAGATCCATCTTATCACTTCCTCTCTCTGCCCAGTCTTATCACTTCCTGTCTGCTTGTACAGTCTCCAGACCGCTATGGATAACTAATAGCTAGCTCCACCCTTTGGTATCCAGGCAAACTTTATTTATCAGAATACTAACAAAATAACACAACAGAAATGGTATTCAGAAACACTCCCTTGGATGGAGCCAGGTATCTAAAAGAATCCACAGTGATAGAGATGATAACTTTTTGGTAGGATACACATGTTTGGAGATTTCTTTGAAGTTTGTCTTTTAGTTCTTGTAATTGGTGTTCTTTATTTTCAGCCATTCTGTCAGTCTTTTTAATTCCTGCTGTTCCACTGACCTGTCTACTATGATGGTGTTTCCTGTTATGCTCTTGAATTTCTCCTCCCCATGTGTCTGTTATCAAGGTTCTAGTGTATCATTTGCTTGGTCTAACTCCCGTATTCTGACCCTCATAGAAAAACTCTAGTGCAGAGGTTTCTCTTCAATGCAAGTTATAAGTTCCAGAAAAGAATGGGGTGGGGGTGTCCCTATAAACTCTTCACTGTTCTTGAGACTCTTAGTATATCTCTGCTCTGTTTCTGAAATGTTACAGCATGTGCTTCCCAATTGCAAACACATTGCTCACTCCTTCATGGCCATTACCTTGTCTTGTGACCTCTCACTTTCTATACCCTGTCATAAGTGCCCAGAAAATATTAATTTGTTGTCATTAGTGGCACTTCATATTGAGCAGAAATTTCCACTGAGGATCTTCCTGCAGTCTATGATGTAATTAAGATCTAAAAAAAATCATAACACTTCTAAGCTACCTCTACCAATATGAGACGAGGTGTTTTCATACAAGAAGCCAATAGCTTTCTTATGAATTTATCATCCTATAAATATTATAGGAAGACAGTACATTTTTCTAATTTTTTTAAGTGCTAGGAATTGAACCTGTGACCTCACACATGGAAGCCAAGTGTTCTGCCACTAATCTGTATTCCCAGAAAGATAGTGTTTTTTACAAATGAAGCTTTCTAATTCTGGACCTAGAAATGATACCAATAGAAATTCTTATACTATTTAAAACTAATCTGTCAATTGGTTTTTAAAATGCCCTAAAATATAACCATCACAGAAGTCAAATTGCAAATTTTTTATCTGATCTTTATCTTTTTATTTATAGAGGGAAGCTACTAAACTAAATGAGCAGGTTGATCCAAAAGCCTTAGGGCTAATTCATAGCCATTGATGTTGTTTATTAGAGCACAATATCTGGATGTGATAATTCACGTAATTTCAGTATTAGAATACAATAAATTAATTTTCCACACCATTTTTAAATCTTAGAAATGTTCTGCTGAGTACAGCAATTACCTGAAGTCATTTATAAGCTTTCATGTAATTTAATTTAAAAGAGGTAATTGTGGCAGAATGTTAACAGTTGTTTAATAATTTAAAATGTGAGGGCAAGAACAATTAAGCAAATGGAAGAAATCGGACATCAAACTCATTTATTCTTCTTCTTGCTCTATTAATCTGTTACCATTTAGTGAAATTTGTGATATTACTTGGTTTAATTACAATGAAGTCTACAATTTAGGCAATCAAAATGTATCATCAATTGTTACAATAATTTAGACAGTATTTTATAATTATTAAAACACAATATGTGCATTTTATTTGTATACATACTGAACATTCTAATCATGTAATTTCTTTGAGAAAAGTATTAAATTAGCCCTTATAATTTGAATTATGGGTTAAATATAATATAATAAAAATTAGAGGCTTTTGGAAGCAAGGCAATTACTACTGCCTGATTTTCTTTAATCCATAATGTTTTGTTTATCTTGCTTGTAAAGGATGTTCACATGCTGTACCACATATTATGATTGCACAGATTGCTTAAGAAATGTGTAAAATGAACATTAGAATCACTGAGATCATTAGACTGAAAAATAACACGAACTTTTTCTTGGAAATAAAAGTTTTTTTTTTTTTTTTGATTCTTCTCAGCTCCGCAAGGCTATTATAGATCACATATCTGATTCTTTCTTGGACACAACAGTTCCACTCCTGGTTCTCATTGAAGCTGCCAAGAATGGCCGAGAAAAGGAAATCAAAGAATATGCTGCGATATTTCGTGAGCACACAGGCAGGCTTGTGGAGGTAAGTGTGCTATAGTGGCAGCTACTCCAAATCCAGGAAAGCAAGATTCCTGTCTCCATTTACAGATGATTTCTACTCATGTAAAAACAATCAACAACATATTACAAATGCTACAGCGTTGAGCCTAGGTGATAGAGAAGTATATTAGTCAAATGGTATAAGCCACCCTTCAGCAATTTATTTATAAAGATGTGTGAAATTGTGCTCACTGTTGTTTCTATTTTAAATATTCATTTTACTGGCACTAGACAAAAGAATAAGCTAAATACATAGTTCTGTCCTGGTAAATATTTTCCTACCATTCTAGCTTCAATTTAGCAAATACTCGATGCCATGTGTTTTAATGCCTGGGTTTCATGGGCCCTTCTTTGCTGCTGCTTTTTAGAGCATGCTATGTAACACAACATTAAAAAAAAAAAAAAAACAAGACAGAATTTGCAGGTTTTGAGAATTCCATTAAAAATTAAGTAGGAATAGTGTTCTAGGGGAAGGGGAAATGATACAACATCCCTCTTTTTTAACAGCTACAGATGTGACCATGATACCATGGTTTTAAGAGGAGGTTGGAAGATTGCTACCAGAAGTATGAAGGGTTGTAGATAAGAAATTCTCAAAGGTCAACAGTTGAACCTGTTGCATCATGGATATGAATACACAGCTCAACAAAGCAGAGAACCTGGATGGAAGAATTTCTTAAGGCAATAATACTCACAAGGCCAGGAGCCAGAGACTAGAATGGGGTTGTGTATTTTACCAGGTTTATAAGCCAAAGCTCATTCTTGGCTATCACTCAGCCATGTGTCTGTGCCTGTTTTTATGTATGTATGTATGTATGTATGTATGTATGTATGTATGTATTTTTGAAACAGAGTCTCACCATGGTACTTTGGCAAGTTCAGAGTGTATTTTGTAGATCAGGCTTCCCCAACACTCACAAGGTCCACCTGCCTCTGTCTCACAAGTGCTGAGATTAGGATGGTGTGCTAACATGCTCAGCTATTTGTTTCAGTTACGGTGACTAGTGTGTATTAGGATCATCTGTGCCCATTCCATACTGGTGATTAAACATTTGACTGCCACCTCTTCCTACATAATCACGAGCTCTGGAATGAAATGTGGTTATTTTGCCCAAATTGCTCACAAAAAAAAATATTGTGAGAAAAATAATCGTAACTCAAATTAGAATCATAGTAGCACAGAGTTTTTTTTTTTTTTTTAACACTTTAAATGTAAATATATGGAACAAATTCCAATGTAGCTAGCATTTTTACTGTAAATTCCCAGGCTTGACTCTACTTTCCATAGCTAGAAAAATGGAAAATAAATGGATGAATATGTGATTGATGAGGTCATGACATTTTCCCAATATGCCAACCTCTGGCTTAGAATTCACTTTTGAATTTTTCAAGACCTCAGTAAGACAGCTCAAGTATTACTAGTCCAATGAGAATTTTATGGAATTAAAGTTATAAAACCTGAAACTAGATAGTTGTTGCCAGTGCTGAATTCAAGTCTATAATTTTTACTGAACAGATTCTGTGATCGACCTTTGAGAAAGTTTTGTTAAATCTCTCATGTGTTCCTTCCCCAAGTATGTATTAGTGATTACAAAGAGATGCTTAACTGAGCATAGTCCTTGGTAGTTGCAAACCATCTGTCTAAAAATGGGTTTCTATGCTGAAGCCACACAGTAATTATGGGGGGGGGTAATTTTGTGATGTACTTTGAAAGTAAAGCTTTGTTTCTATAGATAGTGTACTTTTATTCTAATTTCTCAGTTTAATCTTTCTGTGAAAACATTGTCTTTATGCTGCCACCTGGAAAATTACACCCTAATCAAACTGTGAAGAGGCAATAGGTGGGGTCAGAGACACAACTTATGTACAGCTCTGAGAACTCTTTCTAGAAATCTATCTTTTCAGGGGAAGCCCAGATACTAGACTTTGCTGTAGGAAAGAATGTCTGAACCAGTCATTATGAGCATAGTTGGAGTTTATTAGGAAGTTCTCTTGAAATAGATTTAACCTTGTGAGTTAATAGAGTTGTTTAAAAGGATAGGTAAGCATCCCCATGTGGGCATTGGCACCTCAAAAGAGAATTCCTCTTAAACTTTTTACAATAGACATGCACATCATTTTGAAGTCATATCTTGAAGAGTGAAGTGACTACTGAACTCAAAGGTCATTGAGTAAGTTCCTGAGGTGTTGTGGTTGGGATTGGTTGTATAAGGCAGTTCAGAAGTGCCTTGACTGTAAATGGAGCTACTCTTTTCTGATATTCATGACTCAATCCTTCTACCAATAAACATTATGAATCATAAAAACTGAGTTCTGGTCATTTCAAAAGGCATGCACACTCAGGGCGTCAGTGTGATTAATAGATCATTTTATATTCTTACTTAAAAATCTCCATATAAAAGGAAGATTGTCTCTGTGGGCAGCAGCCTTCACAGCAAGAGTTAATTGTGCTAGAATCCTTAACTATCAGCTAGGGAAATACTTCATCAGGACTACAGAATGATAGTCCCTTTTCCTTCCCACATCCTTTAGCATCCCCTGTCTTTCTAGTCAACCCCCCAAAACTTTATTATAATAAAGTTCTATGGACAAATCTTTTTGGAGATTCTAGCAATTTAAAAGTTATTTTTACTTTACTTTAACCTAGAGTTTCTTCAAGTAAGTTATCTAATGCTTCCTGTCATGTTGGTTTGCTAAAGTACTGCTTTCAAAAATTCCTATGAATATTGTCTTAATATTTAAACCAAACTATAATCACTATCATGTCAATAGACCTCTAAGAATTTATTTTAAATGATCAAGGATTTTTGAGAATTCCCTATTCCTTGTGAACATTAAAGAGTAAAAGCTTTTGGAATTATGAGCTATTAGGAGACTGAGAATGGGTTTTACTTAATCTGGATATCTCCTTAACACAGAATAGAGTGATTATGGAGATCTGTAAGATTATCTACATTTCCATCACACTGTGATGTTATGCAGATGTTCTGGCCTAAGTCATTTTTACTGTGCAGAATAATTCCTACATTGACTAGCTTAAAATAACTGTTATGATCACTCATCCATTTTTAATTAGCACAAAGGTAAGCAGTTTTTGGTTAGTATTTCTCAGTAATTTGATATTCTCATATATTTGCTGACTAGAGTCTACCAAATATTTGTCCCAGTTGGACACAGAAGGTGGCCTGTTCCTATACGCTTGTAGGTTAGCTGCCAACAGAGAGATCTGCATTGTTGAATAGAGATCAAACATGGCTTTTCCAGGTTTGAGATTCTTGTAGAATAGGTTTTAGGTTCTAAGGGTTCACATTAGCAATAGCAATGGTAGATGAAGCAGGACATTGCTGGGCACATAGCCCGAGGAAGTCTTTCCAGAGATATCTACACAGGTAAAGTTAGGGTCTTGATTTATACCAAAGAAAAGAATTTATGGTGAGTCAGTAGGAAGCCAAGGTGGGATTTGTTAAGAAGAAAGGACAGAGAGCAGTAACACATCACACATCCAAGAGATAAACTCTTTCTCATTTTAGGAGAAAGAGCTACATGCAAACACCTTTAAAAACCTAGGAGATGGTTTCTGTGACTATTGAAGTTACATTGTTGATTATATTGTTGATTATAAAGGGTGCAATCTGTAAATAAGTTTAAAAGAGTAAATTAAAATATTTGGGTATTTTATTTTTTATTACAGTTATTTGTATTTGTGGGGGAGGTAATGTGTGTAGATATGCTTATGCATGTGCAGGTTAGAGAAAACTTGCCAAAGTTGGTTCTCTTCTTCTACCATTTGTGTCCCAGAGCAAGAACACAGGTCCTCAGGCTTGGCAGCAAACAACTTTAATTTTGAGGCATTTTAACTTGACCTTGCCAAGTCAGGGTAAGACAGCCATTCTATTTCCCTGCTGTTGTTGTGGTCTGTCAAGTTCTCTTGGCCTTAGCCAAATCTGGGTGTACCAACGTCGCTGTGAGACCTAGGGTGACTGTTCAGGTGGCTTGCTGTTTCTGTCCTTGCTGCACCTTTTGGAAGTTGTCCATCCGCATTTCCTGTCTACTCTAGTATTGTTATTTTCCTTCTCAGGTCTTGATGAGGTTGAAGATTAAACTATCACAACTATTATTCTCTCTTCCTAGTTAGATATATTAGGTACTAGACTTACGTTTTCCAGCTTAGGACAACTCTATTGTAAACTCCATTATGCCCTCACCCTAGGACTAGATATGTAGGTCATTTTGTTCTCGATTTTCCTTTTCTTAGAGCACACTTGTTATTCACTGTTTTGTATATAGTTTTGTATTAAGCCTAAATCTTTTCTTTAGACTAAAAGGGGAATTGTAGTGAGGTAGTCCTTCTGTAGCACTGACCACGCCCATTGGGGGGGTGGAGCGATGGGCGGAGGTGACCTGAGGAAGGAGGTCGGAGGGGGCCAGGAAGGTGCTCTCTTTCTGGCGTGACTCAGACAGGAGAGGATCGGGTTGAATTTCCTGGTGTTCATCTGTCTAGATTGTAAGTTATTTCTCCCTGAATAAACATCTATTCGGCCTATTTGTTTATCCTGATCCTTATTTACCGCAATATCCCAGAGCAAGAACACAGTTCCTCAGGCTTGGCAGCAAACAACTTTAATTTTGAGGCATTTTATCAGCTCAAGTATACTTATTTTCCTTTGTTGAGGCAATATCTTAGATATAGCTATCCTGAAATTCCATTTGTAGACCAGGCTGGCTTTGAATTCACAGAGATACATCTGCCTCTGTCTCTGCCTCCTGACTGCTGGTATCAAAAGTCATGTCCTACAATGCCCAGCTTGATTTATTTTTACCTACTGAGTTTTCTATTTGTATATGTAAAGTGGTTTATGAAGCACAGTATACAGATTTACATATGATAAAATGATATTGAGAAAACATAGATCAGTAGAGATAAATATCAGGAAAGGATTATAGTATCTCTGCCTCCCATATGGTCATGGGAGTGTTGAGATG